TCTTGCACATATCTAACTGATGAAGGCAGTGACAGTGTATTTCTTTTCTCTGGAAAGTCATTGACAAGATGCTTAAATGGTTATCAAAACAGTTTTTTTTTCAGTTAGAATGATGAGGAACCCTACCCTTTTGGAGATCCCAAGACACTGTAACAGAATCATGAATTAAATATGATCACTAATGACATCTCTTAAAATATGTAAAATTTTCAACAGATTTCCATAATAATAAAATGGGTTGGGTTGTTCAACCGAAATACTATTCTTATGATCAAGAGGCCTATCATTCTTTACTCCAGTGAAAGATTTTTCCTCCTAGAGTTTCAATAAGGTGTACCTCGAACATACTTTAGTTTAGAGAAAAAGGCAACTATGAATGCTCTGTTATTCCAATCAATTTATTATTATTGTGCTGAGTTTTCTAGTGGATAAAAGATGGGAATGGGAAAGAGTACACCTGGGTTTTCTTCCTTGCTAGGCCACTTACTGGTTTTGTGTTCTCAGATAATTCACTTCAATTCTCTGTGCCAGTTTCATATGACATACAGCATATATATATATATATATATATATATATATGTATATATATATACACATATATATGTATATATGTATATGTAACACATATCATCTTGAAGTGTTGTGAAATGAAAATAAATAGTGGCTTTGGGGGTCCTCATAATTCTGTAAAATGCCTTATTTTTCTCCTATTTGCTAGGATTTTGAGGGTATGCATATTTTATCTCCTCAATTAATTTGCTTAGGACAGGTACCCTATTTTGCAATTAAAATAGTTTTTAAAAGCAAATACAATTAGTAGGTAGGATGCCAATAACAAATCTATTCTCTCTTTGAGCTGAATGACTAATGGAAGAGGAGTAACTTTGTTTTGTTGACCTGATGAGGAATTCTGCACAAGATATAATCAAACATGACAAAATTCTCCATTCATTAGTTTGATCTACAAGCAGCAATTATTCTTTAACACCCTTCAGTAATTATCATTTAACTTCTTTGACCATCACTACTACTCTACTACTAAGTTTGGCTACCTCTGAATCCCACTTCAAATCACCCACCCAAACCAAACACAGCTGCAGGTAGAGAACCTGGGGTAAAAAAAAAAAAAAGGTGAGGTGGGGTGGGGTGAGAGGGAGATGAAAATGGTCTTTGAGAACATTTTCCTCTCCTACTATATTTAAAACATTTCTTTTCACTTGCAAGTTATTTATAAAGATGTCTTTCCTTTCTCCCTGCAGATCCTAAAGATTTGGAATGACTTTGAAAATATGTGCATTATAATGAAATTCTACCATCTTTGTAACTGTATTCCAAATAAATGTTTATTGGAGGAAGATTAAATGAATGTCATAATTTAGGATTGTGAAATTTTAAATCTTGGAGGGATTATCAATTTTGGATTAAGTTAGATTTCCAGGATTTAGATCTAAGATGCCATCAACACTCTCACTTTATAGATGAGGCAATTGAGGTTCAGAGAGATTAAGAGATTTGTTCAAGGTCACACAGTTCAGTGAAAAAGTCAAGAATAGAAAGCTTAAATTACTTATTACTTTAAAAGTTAATCTTAATGTTTAGTTAGGGGAATATAGGTCCTGTAATTTGTAGGATCATAGATTCAGAAGTGGAAAGGACCTTAGAAATCCTCTAGTCAAACCCTTTAATTTTGCTGAAGACTTGCTGAAGATCCCTCATGTAGTGAGAGCTCAGTCATTGAGAGATGAGATTTGAACCCATTTCCTCTAATTAAAAATATAGTACTCTTATTGCTATAGACCAAAAAAGTTTGTTTCTAAGTTTAGCTTTCATCTAAAGGGAAAAAAGAAAAGCAGAAAACCAAAATAAAATCCACCTCTCGAATGCCAGATTTCCAATATTTATTGCAAACTGTCATTTTATTAGCAAGACCTTGTTTTCGTTACTGTTTATCAAAATAGTCCATACAAGATTATTTTCGTTAAATAATGGACAAAAATTGTCAGACAATCTAAAATCCCTCTGCCTCAAAATGTGGAAACTACGCCTTAAAAAATTAAAAAAAATTTTTTTTAAAGGTCAAGTGAGGACGGCAGTGTAAGGACTCATTGCGCCACCTACTGACCATTTGTGCATCTCCCTTTCTCACAGGTTTTATTCTCCAAAAATTGTAGTTTCTGAAATTATTTCTTTTAAAGGACTGGGAGTGTTGGGGGGAATAACTCATTGTGGCCTCACAACTGGTATTGACCAATTCTGAAGTTTTAAAACATACAATTCATAAAGGAAAGAGAGTTCAGATTTCAAGTATTGTGTACCACACCCGAAAGAGACTAGAGCTTACATTGGCATTGAATAAATACAATACTGACATCAACTACAGCTGAAAGAGACTAGATCTGTTTGTCACCTGTATTCTAACAGGATCTTTACCTGCTTTTTAAGAAAATAAATGCATGGAAAAGAGTAGTTAATAAACAAATTTATTTCCTTTCTTGTTCGGCATGAGGGACTCTTTTATTTGCTTCACTTACCTAAAGAATTTATTTTTACCAATTCATTTCACTGCATATATGGGCATGTTCACACAGACACAATTCATCTAACTCAAACTGTTATTTCTGTTTAAGCTTTCAAAAAGGTCTTATTCCTCCTCCCTCGTTTTCTCTGCTGGTGTGCGAATTAACAAACGTTGCTAGTTTTTCAGTGTAGAACGGTGAAGGTAATTGGGGTCATCGATACAGAAAAGGTGAACCCAGCTCTCAGCGCCTGAAAGGCTTTCTGGCTTATTGTTATTTATATTTGGTGACTGAGAAGTAGGGTTGATGCTACTCTGAGTGTGTGGCTATTCTGTTTGGGAAACCAAGCCCCACAGATCTGGCAGAATTTGACTTCTATCTTCTGTTTAACTGCCTGGAGGGTTGGAGTTACAAAAGGACCTCCTAGGAGGAGTTGAGTTGACACAGACCAGGTGTCTGTCCAAGGCAATCTACCTGCTCTCTGACACATCAAACGAATCATCTGTGTTCCTGGTATTTAAGATCTTTTGCTTCGAATCCTAAGGATGGTTAACTGTTGTGTGGGGTTTTGTTTTGTTTGTGTTAGAAGAATGGGTAGGAGCGGAGAAAAAAGTTGGAGCTAGATAGAGGGCAGGGAAGATAACAAAGAAAAGAGCCAAAGGAAATGTTAGGAAAGAAGGAAGAAAAGAGCGAAGGGAGACCAGTTCGGAGGTGGAGGAGGAAAGTGAAAGAGGAAAGACGTCAAAAAAACAAACCTGAAATCTGAAGAGAAAGAAAAATGCAAACAGTTTACACCTTCTGAATTAAATTATCTCCCCTTTCCGACTCAATAAACTAAAGCTACAAGGTTCTTGCCCACTCAAATATGTAGTAATCTTTCCGTGTTACTTTTTGCTAATGGTTATTTTTCTTGTTTAATATATCTTCGTCTCCCGTCTTCCTGTCTCTGGTCCACAGGCGAGATAATACCTGCCAGAAAAATTTACGGAGAGCCCTTTAGGGATCCCGTCTGGTGGGAAGTTTGTCACCCGGGAGGCTAACCCGATTATTATCCTGAGATGGATTATGTTTACTGTCACCAAAACTCATAGAGATTATAATCCAATTAATGCGCATTACAGTCAATATTAGCTCTGTCTGCTATTTTAAGTCTCTCAGTTGCCCCACGAGTCCTCAAAGGGCAACTAAGCCAGTTCTGATGCAATCCAACCCGCTGCCAGGGAGAGGGGAAAAAAGACTACAAAAGAAAACAACTTCCCGCCACAGCTCAGAGACGTGACGTTTGTCTCCTGCCGTCACCTGGGCATTTTGGACATAGAACAGCTTTAAGGCTCAATTTCTCAAAACATTCCCTAAGGGAGAAACGATCGGTTTGCTTCATTACTTAATCTCTCTCTCTCTCTCTCTCTCTCTCTCTCTCTCTCTCTCTCTCTCTCTCTCAATCTTTATATACATTTCTCCAACTTTGAACCCAGCACAGGCCCGTGGTATTATGTGCTTTTCAGTCACAGGTTTGCTGGAAGAGGGCGTAGCGATAACCCCATTTGCCAGATGAGGAAACTGAGGCTTTCAGAGGTTAAGTGATTTGCCGTAGGTCAACACAGGTAGTAAAGGGTAGAGCCGGGACTTTTAAACTCATTTTACTACTGGAGCTTGTTTGGTTTTTGTCTTTGTTACTCGCAGCGTCCAAGATAGTGCCAAGAACATCGTAGGCGCTTAATAAATGTTGAAGTAATGACTCCAAATCCAGCGCTCTTGCTACTGAATCTGTAATTCACTAGTTTGTGTGTGTGTGAAGTTTATTTTGGGGTGGGCTTTTGGATGTTCAGTTGTGCTATTTAAGCACAAAAGCAAACTTTTCTTTCTTTCTTTCTTTCTTTCTTTCTTTCTTTCTTTCTTTCTTTCTTTCTTTCTTTCTTTCTTTCTTTCTTTCTTTCTTTCTTTCTTTCTTTCTTTCTTTCTTTCTTTCTTTCTTTCTTTCTTTCTTTCTTTCTTTCTGTGGAAGACAAACACACTATTTAGGCATTTATGAAGTAGCTATCTTCCTTCTCCGGGACAGCAAACTTTTCCAGCAAGCCCAGAAAGATCTAACAGCCCCCAATTCCCACTCCCCTTCTTCTCTTGCCCCTCTCTCCCACTCCCCTCTGCTGCTGGGGCTTTCCAGGGGGCTGTACTTTGGCTACATTCCAACACTTTTAATCCGTTTTTTATTGTAAGACCGGAGGTGTTTGCACAGGGGCTGGGATCGCTCCCCCCCAACTGCCCAAGACTTTCCTAGTCTTCTAACCCTCCGCTTCTCTTTTCCTCAATAACCTGTTACTTTAAGTAATGCATTTCGGTTTCGGCCGTAGTCGGGTGGGGAGGGCGGCTGGGGTTTAGTGTAATTTAGTTACTGTGTTTGATTGGCTCTGTCGGGCTCTTTCCCTCTCTCTTTCTCTTCCCCCCCCTCCACCTCCACCAGTCCCTCCCTCTTTCCCTCCACAGTCCCTCCCTCTTGCACCGGGTTCTGTGTCTAGTGTCAGTAGCTCCCAGCCCAAGGCGCATGCTCCGAAATCCCAGTCTCAGCCCCTGCTGCTGTTGCTGCTGTTTGGTTGCTTTTGCTTTGGCTGTCGGGGCTCAGTTTAACAAGAGAGAGAGGGAAAAAGAGAGAAAGAGAGAAGAGAGAGAGAAAGAGAGAGAGAGAGAGAGAAAGAAAGATAGCGAGAGAGAGAGGGAGAGAGACACGGAAAGGGGAGGTGGGGGGGGGAAGACAGAGAATGTCCGCCATCTACCCTCTTCTCCTGGGCGCACTCTCATTCATATCAGCTTCTTCATGAATTACAGCTGAGAAGGGGAGGGTGGGGGCGGGGGGAGTCGGGGTACCAAAAAACACCCCAGCAAACCTCCGGGCCCCCAGGCATGGCCAGCTCGGTAAGTACATGCAAAAAAAAATCTTCTTTCCTCCTCCTTCACCCAGCGCTGCTGCTGCTGCTGCTGCCCAGACACCGCTCCGTGGTTCCAATTAGAGAAAGGTTGGTATGGTTTGCAGTATGCTGCTTTTCCCTCTAAATCTCCACTCCCTCCTCTGCACTCTCACCCCCCCATATACTCCTCCAACCCCCCCCCGCAATTGCAAGAAGCGCGCACACCACACACACACACACACACACACACACACACACGCGCGCGCGCGCACACACTCACACACACACTCACACACACACAGACACACACGCAGACACGGTGGAGGAGGCGAATAATAACTCAGCCATATTTCAGCAGCCGCCTGCAGCAGCCGGGAGCAGAGTGTGTACAGTACAGGGCGGACTCTCAGCAGTAGCGGCACCGGAGGCGGGCGCCGCAGTCGCCGCTAGGATGGTGCGTTCTCTCCCGGCGTGTCTGTGACAGCACCGGTGCTCACACGCAACTTTAACCCCATGCATGTGTGTGTGTGTTGTGTGTGTGTGTAGCGTAACAACGATGGATCTGCCTTACCCCGCCCTCCCCACCCCCGTTTTTCTTTTCCTTTCTTTTTTTAAAATGAATTTTTTTGGGAGCACGGGATAGGGGAGGCCTTCTGGGTGCTCTTCAGCGTGTTTGCGGGGTTTATCGGGGCGGTTTTCTATTCCAGTATGGGGCTCACGGCAACAGGGCACGCTACCTTTTATGCGTAATGTTTGTTTTGGGGAGGGGGTGGTGGCCGGGCATGTTAAGTTATTAATGCATTGGCGTGTTGTATGCTTTTTGGGTGTGTGTATGTGTGTGACGACGTCTTAAATTTGCTGTCCACGAGTCCTGCAATAAAAAGCACTGGAGTTTGTGACTTGCCCATTAGCAAAAGATGCCTACAGTTTAAATTCTGCCTGGCACTGCGCTGCACATGCATGCATGCAAGCATGCATGTACTCTCTCAACACATAGATATACACAGATACACACAAAGACTTAATAGTATTGTTCCTTTTACGGGATTACTTTCTATGAAGGGGTTCCCCATCCCCCATTCTTCGCTGCCACCTGGCCTTATATTGTCTGAGAACTGATCTCGTCTTGCTTTCTGATTATATTTAATTTGATTCCAATGTGTCTGTTGTTATTAGGTGTCCTCATCCTCCTCTTTCTCCCTTCCTCCCCCCTCCGTTGGGGGTAACATTCCGTTACAATTAGAGCTCATCTGGAGCATAGCTGACCTGGTCTCACCCTTACTGGTGTATGTGAAAGACATGAAGCGTATGTGTATCTATTTGTGTTTATACGCGTGTGAAACGTGGGTGTGAAGACTACTATTTTCTTTTGTGTGCATCAAAAACCAAAACAAAACATGCATAATCCTAAATGTAAAATCATCCTTTCCCCATTATTCATTATTGTCTCTCTCTCTTTCTCTCCTCCCTTGCTTTCTCAGTGTGCTGTTCAGGTGAAGCTGGAGCTAGGGCATCGAGCCCAGGTTAGGAAGAAACCCACTGTGGAGGGTTTTACCCACGATTGGATGGTGTTTGTTCGCGGACCCGAGCACAGTAACATTCAGCACTTTGTGGAGAAAGTCGTCTTTCACTTGCATGAAAGCTTTCCTAGGCCAAAAAGAGGTAGGGGCTGAAATACAAAGGGGGTGATGATTTTTTTTAAGTGTTTGCTTTAGAAGAGAGCAAGGGGGAAAACAATTGACTTTGCCAGTGAGATTCTCTCTCCTCCTCCTTCCTTCCCTCCTTCCTTGTATGTTTGCTGAGCTCTCAGATTGGTGTTTGCTGCGGCGAGGAAGCAAGAGGCCCCAGCCCAGTCTCTCTGGCTTTTCAAAAGTCACCGCATGTAAAGGACCATCAGGTGTACAGTATTTTTTTTCCAAAGCAAGAATTCTCCAGTCCTTCGGGGTTAGCAGCTTAGGTGGTGGATGGTACAGTCGTTGAGGGTTGGGGGTGGGGCTGGAGAGAATAAATGGCATTCGTGTTTTTCCAGAAAAAAAAATTTGAGTTTGATTTGCAGTATTTTAAAAACAAAAATGCATCGTGAGTATTTGTTTCCTGTTCAGGTCGCACCGATCTTTGCTTTATAGCACGTTGTTTGAAGGTTACCACAGACTTCTTTTTCTCCCCCTCTCTACTAGATCTTTCCAGCTTTATCTTTATGTCTGAATAAAGGTTTAATCTTCCCTTCTCGTAGATGGCACTTGGTCCCGCCTAGAGACTGAGTGTTTTAAGCGGGTGGGGTTCCGATGTTAGCTTTAGGGGAAGAGTTTGCATTCTGAGGTTGTTTTGTGAAAATGTTTCTTAAGTTTCAGAAGGAACGCTTATGCTTTGAAGGCTTCACCACCTTGTTTCTTTGACTTTTTTTTTAAGTTTGCATAATCCTGCCTAGTCTGTGCTATTTCAAACGTTTTTCTGTGCAGAGCAAGACAGTTTTCAGACAAGACAGTTTGTAATGTCACAGGATATTGGGAAAAGAGTTTTGGGTAACCTCAATTTCAGTTTCTTTCACTCTCATGGAAGCTACTGTCTGGTTGTTTTAGTTGGATTAGTGGAGGTAACAGTACCATTACAATAAGGTGCTTTGTTTGTGAGCAGGTTTATTTATCTAAGTAGACACAATGGTTAGTAGTTATCTCCCATTTGATCTGTAATCTTTATTGGCATCTAGAACTCCTGCAGTTCCTTAGAACAACATCATAATAAATCCATTCTGCTTAGAGCTATGTGGGAATTATTGAACATACAGGCAGTGGATAAAGAAAGGAGAAATGCAGGGTTGAGTGTAGAGGTGGCAGAGGTTGTTTTGATGCGTTTTTTGTTTCCCAAGCTCAAGTGGTGAAGGGCTGTGTTGTGTTTTCTTTTCCTGACTTAGTTTGTAATGCCCTTTTCAAATGGGAGAAGTTGAGTTTGACAGGCTTTGTTTGATGGTTAATAAATGAATTACATTTCTAGTACAAGAAATACTCCTTGCTAGTAGGAACTATTTAGGTTGCATTTTGTATCCAAGCATAACCAGAGAAATAATTATTCTTTAACTGAACACTATTTTGTATCTCAAAGTCGTGATACTGAGTAGACTGTCAGGTCTTAATTACTGTACAGGATTGGATATGATGGCTCTTAGTATCTTTTCTTCTGGGGTTTGTTAGTCACTGCAGTGTTTTTAACAAAAGAAGCCATCTACCCCTGAGACTCTTGGTACCCAAGGTTGCCATTATCTGACTGCTATTGACTTAAGATGTTTAAAAAAATTCACAGTTTATTTAAAGGAATATTTGATGTTTTGGGAGAAAGAGCCCAATTTTATTTTTGGCAGAAGTAATCGAGGTAACTGTTTGTATACTGTGACGATGAACGGATTGGCATTCAGAAATTTCAAGATTAAGAATTGTTTTTCACATAGCTCCATCTCTGCTCTAGTGGGTGTGTGGTGTGTGACACTCTCCCTTTATTTCCTATACTTAATGATTTTTCTGTCCAGCCTGAGGGAACATGACTCTGCAGCCCAGACCTGGGAATTGTTGCTAGGTGTGGTGTGCTGCTAGATTAATAGTAGGACAATTTCTGGTGTTTCAAGGGTGACATGTCCGATTGTTGGTAGAATACTTTTGTTTATTCTCAGGTGTGAATAACTTTTATTTCTTCAAAAAAAAAAGAGACATGTAAGCCATTGTTTTAAAATGTTTATTTTTTTGATTTTTATTTGTATATGTGTTTTCCATGATGTGACAAGTGCTGGGAAAAATGCCAGCTTGCATAGCCTGGGAGAGACCTTGTCATATTGTAATTACACATGACTCAGATTGCAAGAGAACATTTCTCTGTTCATTGGGAACAGTTGTAAGTTCAGGCAGCACCAAACATGCCATTCATTCCTGTGACAGATTTCAGTTTATTGAAATAAGACAATTTCAAAATGACAACAATGATGATGGAACAGGCACACCAGAAATTTCTTAATTTACTCCTGTCCTCTTAAGGCCCTGCATCATAGTGGCATGATAAAATCTCACTAATGAGGGGAATGCCAATCTGACTTAGTGAAAAGTCTGAACTGTGGATGATTTTAAAAGAAATGTAGTTTTTTTAAACTCTCAATTTAATCAAAATAATAATCAAATTAAAATTTCATATTATAAAAATGAGTTACAATAGATAATATAAAATAAATGATGTAAAATTAACATACATAATATGCCACATCTCAGATACTTGTAAGTATCCTCTACATCTATATATCTATATCGTATGAATACATCCTGTAAGAACACAGAGATCCTTAAATATAAAAGAATGAACCTGCAAGTTGATTTAGTCATTAATTTATTGTTTTGAAAAACCTGCTGATTTTAGTAGTTTTGAAAAACCCAATTTCCTTTTACTTGAGAGTAATCTCTTGAGACTATAGAGGAAGAAATTACAACACTTTGAACTTTTTACTTAATTGGAATTGCATATCCCTTTTATTAGTTTTGATTTGCTGGGATTCAAATTAATGAAGTTTTGCTGTTCCACTAATACATGTGCAGGAGACCTGTATTTGAAAACTACTTATAGTCAGTTTATCTGTTAAAGCCCTAGATTTTGATTGAATAATGTTGCCTGGGACATAGAGCATCTACTGTTAAGGAATTAGGCAGGTGGTACTGTCATTGTTAAAACTACCAAGTTGTAAAAAATAAAATACAACCTCCATGCTTATTTATTTGAACTGGATTTATAATGGTCTACTCTGACCACGTATAAGGCATATCTACAGTGCTTCATGTTAAATATTAATGCCTTCATTTGTAGTAAGATGTGAATTTGAGTGAACTTTCTTTCTAATTATAGCTATTTCTAGCATTGCAATCTGTTCAGTTGACATTTATGATATTAAATCTGTTGCTTATTATTTTCTGTAAGCTAATTTGACTACTAGTATAATTTGATGGCTTTCCAGTTGAAGCCAGATTCCTTTCGGGGGGGGGGTGCTCAGAGTGAGGGGAAAGAGGGAGATAGAAAAGCATAAAACACAAGAAATCTAAGCCTAGAAGCTGTAGTTTGATTTAGCATTCTCTAATACTGACTTTAATCTTTAATGTTGAATTTGTATGCTAAATCATTTTGGCAAATTTTTACAAAGCACCTCGGGTAGGGTGGGGGAGGGGGAAACCTTTTAAGATGTTTGACTGAATTTGCTTGTTTGGAGTCCTAAGTAAGTTTTCAAAAAACCTTTGCCTGTAAGAAAGTAATCATCTGTAACAGTCAGCATTTTGAAGTGAGACTTATTGCTTTCTCAAAAACTATGTTATGGCGAAGATGTGGTTTTGAATCGATTCATATATGTTGATCTTAATTCTATCTTTGAACATCATGTAATGGTTTTCCTTGTTTGTGGTCTGTAGGATTGAATCCAAGTAATGCTGGTTTATTGCCTCCCCTCCCTCCCCCCATGAAAGGCTAGTCACACAAAAGGAAGGCATCTCATTTTGTCTAGTATAATATTAAAGGTTTCCTAGATGGACAGAATCATTGTTTCTCCTTTTGATAATCTCACCATGTAAACAAATATCATAGTGTACTTTATTTTTTGGGTGGTTGGGGAGAATGCTCCATGACTATTGATCTTTTTTCCTCTATCCATTTACCATAGTATTTATCCCTGTATGTATAGGTTTGTCAGTGTGAATTGGAATATTTGCTTTTGTGTTTGTCTGTCAGTGTGTATGGGGTAGAAATGACTAATGGAGGGTAGTAGGGCAGAACCAGACAGAGAAATACTCTAGGGTTTAATCATGACAGTTATACAAATAGAAATAAACTGTTATATTTTAAAATTTTACTTTCATTCATAAAAGCATTAGAAATGTATCTGGTCTTTGAATCAGAATGCTTTGCATTGTCCTTTATACAAGTTTTTTCTTTTCCTATGTTATGCTTTTGTTTGCATTATTGACAATCTTTTCATCTATCTGAATCATGTCCACCTCCCCACCAAGAGAAGGCCATGTACCAAGTGGAATGAAAGACCCATTCTCTACCTGAGATTCTTAGAATTGTCAGAATTATTTAAAATGATACTTGCCTTACAGCCTGAACTTCATTTATTTCTTCCTAACTCATATTATACTACCTGAATGCTTTATTTCTAATTTTAGCTATTACTGTATGTTCTAAATTATCCAGTGTCCTTTCTACTTCTTCATGTTACTGATGCCTTAAGTTATTAGAGAAAATATAGTTTACCTCAAAGTTGCCAAAGAGAAATGATGGATTGCATATTTTCCAAAGAAAAGTGATCAATATGTCTATTATAGTGTTTTCTTCAAAGTTCTTATGTAGTTGTAAACCCAAGTTATGGATGTAAAAGAAATTTTTATTTTAGATCCTAAGACAAAAATAAGGATACCAGTACCAATTCAAGCCATGACTTGTCATATAGTATATGAAATTCCAAAACATCTTTGAATCTTGTTCTGTTTCTTACTAGTGATCTTGGGCAAGTCACTTAACCTTGATACTCTTTAGTTTTCTCCCCTATGAAATAAAGGAATTGGCCTAGGTGATCTTTAAGGTAGCTTCTTGTTCTAAGTTTATGATCCTTTGGTCCTATGAACTAGGAGAAAATTTGCTGCTTATTACT